ATAAAGACAATAAAAGAAAGAAGGGAGGAAGGAAGGAAAGACAGATGGACAGACAGACAAACATAATATTGTCTAAATCAATAATTATAGCACTGTATTATTTGGTTTAAAATATATAGAGATATATATGACAATAATAGTACAGGAAGTGTGAATATAATAGAAATTTAGACAAGCAAAATTGCTAATTTTACTCAATTAAGTCAAGAATAACCTCAGGTAAAATGAAGTAAGTTAACATACATGTTATAATTCTTAAACCAACCCATTATATAACTGAAAATAACACTCATTAAGAAAACAGTTAAAAAACTAAAAATACGTAGTTTAAAAACATGACCCCATTAGGGAAATACAAATTATAGGCATAATGAAATATACTTCACATCTATTGAATGATTGCAATTTTAAAATAATAATAAGTTTTAGCAAAGACAGAGAAATTAGAATCCACACACATTGCAGGTAAGAATATAAAATGGTGCAGATGCTGTGGAATACTGGTGGTTCTTCAAAAATTTAAACAGAATCACCACGTAACACACAATTTCTCTCCTGGGCCCATAGTCTAAAGAAAGAAAAATAAGTCTTCAAAGAATTATTTGTACACAAAAGTTTCATACCAGCACACATTGTAGTAGTCAGTGATGAATGTGATAAAAGTGTCCATCAACATATTCATAAACAAACAAACTGCTATAGATACATACAATGGAATATTATTCAGTCTTTAAAAAGAAGTACAGATAAATACTTCAATTTGGATGAATCTCAAAAACATTACACTAAGAAAAAGAAGCTGGACACTGGGTCAAACATTATATGATTTAATTTTTATGAGATATACAAATAGGGTAAATCCATAAATACCTAAAAAAATTGTTGCAATCGGTTGGGGTTTAGAGGGGGGATAGGGAGTAAATACTTATTTAATATGAGGTCTTCCTTTGGGCATATATACAAATGATGGTTGCACAACAATATGAACATATCATACACTTTAAAATGGTTAATTTTACACTACATGAATTTCATCACAATTTAAAAAATTAAAACATGATTCTATATATTGAAAATCCTAAGGAATTTTCTCCCACAATTTTTTATCTGTTCTTTCTAGATATGGATGACAGTAGAGTGTAATTTGACATCTTATACATGCATCAAATAAATATGACTTGTTCCAATTAGGATCCCATTATTGTGGTTGTATATGATGTGGAGTTACATGGGTCACATATTCACATGTGAGGATAGGAAAGATAATGTCTGATTCATTCTCCTGTCTTTTCTATTCCCATTCCCCCACCCCGTCCCTTCATTCCCCTTTATCTAGTCCAGTGAACTTCTAATCTTCCCCTCCATTGTTGTGAGTTAGCATCTACTTATCAGGGAAAACATTCTGCCTTTGGTGTAAGGGGACTGGCTATTTCACTTAGCATGATATTCTCTAGTTCCATCCATTTACAGGCAAATGCCACAATTCCATTCTTCTTTATGGCTGAGTAATATTCCATTATGTGTATATACCACATTTTCTTTTTCCATTCATCTACTGTAGGGCAAATAGGTTTGTTCCATAGCTTGGTTACTGTGAATTGAGTTGCTATAAACATTGATGTGACTGTATACTGATTGTATACTGATTTTAAGTCCTTTGGGTATAAGCTGAAGAATGGGATAACTGGGTCAAATGGTGGTTCCACTCCAAGTTTTCTGAGGAATCTCCATACTGCTTTCCAGAGTGGTTGTCCCATAAGTTTTTAGCTCTATTAGAATTGATAGATGATTTTAGCAAGCTTGCAGAAAACAAAACTAATATAGAAAAGTCAATTGTATTTACATATGCTAGCAACAATTTCAAAATGAAATTAAGAAAACAACTTCACAATAACATCAAAAAGAACAAAATATTTGACTTTGAAAATAAAATATTTTCCAATTACATATCTGATAAAGGACTGATATCTAGAATATATAACTTTTACAACTCTTAGAAGCATTCAACTTTAAAAATGCCCAAACATTTGAATAGACATATTGCCAAAAAAGATACACATATAGCTAATAACCATATGAAAAGACACTTCACACAATTAATCATTATGAAAATGCAAATTCAAACTATAATGAGTGTTGGCAAGAATTTGGGAAAGGTGGCACCCGCACACATTGTTGTTGAGAGTGTAGAATGGTTTGGCCACTTCACAAAACAGTATGTAGTTTCTTAGAAAGTTAAAAATAAACTTTCTGTACAACTCAGCAATTCCATTATTAGGTATCTACCCAAGAGAAATGAAACGTATGCATATGTATAATGAATGTTGGTAGCAGCATTATTCATAATAGCCAGAAAGTATTTAAAAAAACCCAAATGTCCATTAACGGATCAATTGATAAATAAAATGTGTTATATTCATACAATGGAATACTATTTGACAGCCAAAAGAAACTATTGATCTGTGCTCCTGGATGAATAAACCTAAGAAACATGATTATAAGTGATCACATCTAAACACAGAAGACTACATATTGTATGATACTGTTTATATAAAATCTCCAGAGAAGTGGAATCTTAGAGCTCATCAGTACTACCTGGGGTTCAAGGTGAGAGAGAAGATTTCCTGCAAATTGACACAAAAGAACATTGCAGGATAATGAGAACATTTTAAAAGGAAATTGTGGTCATGGTTGCACAATTTACTACAAAAACATCAAATTGTATCCTTTTGGTGAATGCTATAATATGGAAATTGTATTTCAACAAAGGTGTTAAAAAGTGATGTACTTTTTGAAGTAGTAATTCCACTTCTATTTATTTTTACAATCATAACCATCGATGTGATTAAAGTTTTTGCCCTAGGGATGTTTATCACAGCTTCATTGAAAAAACAGTGAACAATCTGAAATAAATGGTTCAACATTATATAATGATTAAATAAAATGTATGGCTTTATAGATGAATATTATAGACTGTTATAATACTATACAATAGTGTGTATACCATTATGCATCTTAATATGAAATGCAATTATGAAGCATAAAATATTTTCAAGACATTCTGTTAAATTAAAAAATGAGATTATAAAAATAATAGGATGATTTCATTAAAAAATAAATATATGCATAGAAATGAGTCTGGGAGGGTATTCACCAAAATTATATCTGGATGATGGCATTGTGAGTGATGACTTTAGTTCTTTTTATCTTTGCTTACTTGCATCTTGGCATTTTTATATGATACAGATATTTATGAAAAAAAAAATACAACAGTTAAAGGAAAGTTCTGTGAGGCTGGTGTGGCTCATCAGCACAGCAGGAAAATGGAATGATTTGTCTACCTGGATCTCTTCCTCACCTCAACAAGCAAATTCCTGCACAAATATCCCCTCCATTACACTGGATTCAATTACTGGACCTCACACTTGCTACATAAGTTCTTGTAGTTGATACGTGCTTTTGTGACATATCATCTCCCATCATTCCTTTGGTCCTTATGATAACCCCCTGAGCAACAAGAACACACACACACACACATAAAAATAATATTTTATTTAAATATTAATATATTTGTATATACTAGTCTATATATTATACATGTTGGCAATTAGTATATACTTATTTCTATATGTAGTGTTATAATTAATACATATTTTATATGTATACACATATATTCCTCATTTGTTTTTCTGAACAAACTCCCAGGGACCTGTTATTATCCCTATTGTATAGGCTAGGAGAAAAAAAATAAAAGCAGTCACAGGTCAAGGGATTGGCCAAGTTACCTTCTTATCTCCATTTCAGAAACCAGAAAACAAGAACCGAGCCGCACAAAGGTTTGACGTGTGGCAAAATCACACAGTTAAAATCAGAACTTCAGCTTTCCATGAGAATGAGTCATTATTATGATGTCCTGTCCGGAATCTTCTATATTGTTTGAATGCTGACTTTTTTTCGGAAGTGGGGAAATAATGGGTGTTGGCATAAATGGATTTATTTCTGTGCCAGCAGCAAGTAGCAGAGGTTGAAAGAAGTGTGGACGCCTTCCAACAGTTTGTCTAGAGGTGCTTGGCCTACTTTCTCTCCTCATGGAGTTTGGTACTTTTAAAAGGTGATTTTCTTTCTTCACTTAGACCTTAATTCGGATTTGAGTAAGTGCAAGTCACCGTGCTGTGTTTGTGTAAACAGCTTAATACGAATCGTTCAAGACTATTTGTTGCTGGATTTAAGGCCCAAACTGTAATGTTAAACATAAAAATATAATAGCTTGAAGTTTTCCTTTTGGAATCCAAACATTTCAAACATCTAAACACAGGCTTGTGTGTATTCAGGAGCTTACGCTGCCTTGTAGGCACTATAAATATGAGCATGCCTATTTGCACAGCCAGGAGAAGTAACAAGAAAAGCAGTTGTTGATCTTACAGCTGTCAAACTCAGCAATAAATATCTATTTTTATTGAGTGCTTACTGTGCACTGGGGCTTAGTACTTTTTTGTATGCAGGGTCCTATGAAATCCTCTTTCCAAGCATCCTCTGAGGTTGCTACCATTTTTATCCCCTTTTCATTGATGAGGAAACTAATTCCTGTAGACACAGTAATAACTTACTCAAGGTCGGATGGCTAGCATGTGGCACGGATAGAATTCAAACTCAGAGCTGTTGGACTCAAGCTATATTCTAGAGTCGATTCTAATGTTGAACTTTATTCTGCCTGCTCTGATAATTATGATCTTAGGTGTCTGTTCCTCTTTGAAAACTTAACAACATCAACTAAGTTTATTCCCAGAATATCCACAAAAACCTCTAAAGAAATTAGAAATACTGCATTTGTATATTGTATCTATTTTAACCCAAAGTCTCATGCATGATGGAGGTACCAACTTGCTGAAGTTGAAGGTTAAATGGCTGGCAAGGATTAGAATCACAGATATTTAAAATTCATGGACTCATCCAACTCAGATTTCTACCTGGTTATGGGAGTTATCAGGCCTTGTACTAACCTCTGGGCATCTGGATTTGACGGGACGTGGTCCTGACATCAAGGGGTTCATGGTCTAGCAGAGACAGAAGCATAGAAACACAGTATTACACATATATTACACATATTACACGTAACACAATATTGCACGTGTTACAGTGGTGACGGCTGATGTTTAACATCTTTAACCTCTGAGATGGCACTGGCCTTGACCAGCCGAGTAGCACATAAACTACAGCCGTGCCTGAATTCCCACTAGTAAATGGCAGTTTTGAAGAGTAATACCTGGGAGAGAGGAAAGACTTCAAAGCAAGGGAGGAGCTGATGACTCAAATATTAAAAAGTGAGTCACATTTCACCAGGTAAAGAAGAGCCCAAAGGAAAAATGGGCCATGGAGGTTGGGAAGTGGGTGTCTACTGGGATGGAAGGAGGTAAACTGGGGAAGGCAGATGGCAGCAGCATTCTGAAGGGCCTTGAATATCCCTTGACCTTCCTTGATATTGTTGGCAATTTGAAGCCTTTCTGATATTTTTTGAGTAGGAAAATGGTGTGTGGTTATAAACTGGTAAGAATCATTAGGACATTTTCTAGACCATCCTCCCTAAAAAAATGCAGATTTTTATTCCAGAGAACCAGCTAGCCAATGTTCCCTTGAACATATTCAAGAGCAAGCAGCTTATTCATCTTAAACTAATCTGTCTTTGCTAGAGGAGACCTTTCTCAAGTGCCTTGCTAAGGAAGGTCCATATTGCTTATGTCATTCTGTGACTCACAGAATGGATGAATGTATGAATGAACGAATTTCCAGGTACTAGCTCTTCAGACTGACCTTAAAAATCATTGCATGTTTTACAAATGGAGCTTCCAAAAATTTGAGCTAGCCAAATTCTCCCCTGAACCCCCTGTGACCTGACACACTTCCTCATCTTGATTTCTCTCCTCCTGGATGTGGTGCTTTAACTTATTGACATCCCTTTGATGCTTGAAGTTAAATAATAGACGTCCCCCAAGTCGACTGAGCACATGAGACTTTTAATGCCCTTCATCTTAGCACTCTCTTTCAAGTTAAGTTTTTATTAATCATTACTTTTTTAAGTTGTTGGATTTTTTAGATTTGCTTATTACAAAACTGTAAAATAAGTATTGCCACACGTATAAAGTCAAAGGTGCAGTCTTCTCTTCCTCTAGTTTCACTAAGACAACTGCCATGAACCAAATGTTCTATGTCCTTCCAGGCCTATCATATCCTAACACAATGTGATTGCACTATTATTAGAATTTAATTACCTTTCCAAACATCTGGCTGGCCACTGTCTCTGTAGACTCATACAGAGACTGCAGTCAGCCCAACCTTCTCCCCTCCCCTCCATCTTCCAGTTATTAGAGAGCTTTGCAGGATCTCTAGCCAGAAGCAGTGCTTCATTATTTCTCTTTGTTGAATTTCATCTTGTTGGGTTGGGCATATTGTCCCGACCTATAAAGGTCTCTCTGACTCTGCTTTGTCTGACCCACACGTTTGATAAATGAATTCACTAGAAGAGGCGCATGAGAGCTCCGTTGGGCCATTTATATTTGAAATCCTCCAGCAGCTTCCCGCAAGCCTTCTGTTATGGTCTGGATGTGAGGTGTCCCCAGAAGCTCACGTGTGAGACAATGCAAGAAGGTTTGGAGGAGAAATGATTGGATTACAACCTTGAACTAATCGGTGAATTGCTAACAGATGGGATTAGTGGAGTGGTGACTGGTGGCAGGTGGGGTGTGGCAGGAGGAAGTGGTTCTTTTGGGGGCGTGGCTTTGGGGTATGTATTTGTATCTGGCTAATGGGGACCCCTCTCTCTGCTTCCTTATCATCATGTGAGCTGCTTCCCTCTGCCACGTTCTTCCACCATGATGTTCAGCCTCACCTTGAACCCCAAAGAATGGAGTCTACTCTCTACTGATTGAGGCCTCTGAAACCAGGAGTCCCCAAATAAACGGTTGCTTGCTTAGTCACAGCAGGGAAAAAATCTGGTTAAAACACTTTCTGAGCTTCAATTTCCTCATGTGTTAAGGAGCATGATTTGGGGGTCTTTAAGAGCCTCGTGTGCTTTGAAAGCTTGAAGGTACAACGTGCCCTGCTAAGTTTCCCTCCAGCAGCAACTAAAACTTTACAACGTGAGAAAGCCCACATTTCTAAGGCCCGTCACAGAAGGTAAAGGTAATTCTTCTGAAGAGTCGATCAAGGGCAAAGCAAACTTCTTTGATTAAATGATCCTGGGCACTTGTTTTGAAAGATGGGACTCAGTAAGGTCAATCAGATGTGAAGATAGTTCCGGCAATTCTAAAGAGAGAGACCTAGCTTAGTACTGTTGCCAAGTTCCAAGTGCAGGTTACATGAGTTTTCCTGGAGGTGGAGTTTGATCTTTAAGACAAACAAACAACAAACAAAAAAATTAAACCCCAATGTTCTAACTGCGGCTCCAGATCCCACCAAGGTTGGCTGAAAGTGACTAACTCCCCCTTCTGAAGGTGACTTGGTTGCTTGCCTGGGCGATTCTTCTGGATGGGAAACTTAGTCTAACTCACCTTGTGAGACCTTTCTTGAAGTAGAATTCAAGGCTACCTCAAAATGCTGTCCTCCTTTAACCCTAGTCAAAGGAGAGCCCTGCAAAACAGAGTAAGGAGCATCCTGAAGTATAATTAATAGTTGAATATGATTTAATTATTTGGGTGAAATGCTATATGGGAATGATTTTCATTTTTAAATGATTTTCCCCCTTTGCAGTGTAAGGAATTTAGTACTTGCTAATGTTTTTTCTCAAGGACATATCTTCAGGGTTCTGTTATGACTAGAAACTATTGCTCTTCCCCTTTCCCACCTCCTGTCACAATAGGGAAGATTGCAGCACCAGCCTTGATTGATTGTAAGGAATAAGATTCAGAAGCACTGGGCATGGTGGATCATGCCTGTAATCCCAGCAGTTTGGGAGACTGAGGCAGGAGGATCACAAATTCAAAGCCTCAGCAACTTAGTGAGGTCCTAAGCAACTGAGACCCTGTCTCAAAATAAAAAAAATAAAAATAAAAAGGGCTGGGGATGTTGCTCAGTGGTTAAGCAACCCTGGGTTCAATGCCTAGTACCAAAAAAAAAAAAAAAAGTATAAAAGGACTTTTAGGAAGAGGAGAGGTGACGGGAAGTTGTACAGGAAAAACAAATTGCCTGTTCCCCCTCGGCTGTCACATTGCAATCCACACAGCAGACTTCTGTGACCCCAACAGGTGTGGAGATGTCTCCTCACGCAAACAGTTCTTCAGTGGACAGCCCCTGGATGTCCTCTGATTCAGTTCAGTTCACACACTGGAGATAGTGTCAGATCCCACAGGTTGAGGGCTCCATCCCCGAGACGGTCCCTACTTCCCATCTACTCACAAGCCACAGCCTTGGGAACTTGTGACTTCTACAAATTGAGGTTCCCATGACCACTTCCTCGGGTTCAATTAATTTGCTAGAGCAGCTCACAGAACTCAGGGAAACTCTATACTTACATTTGTGGTTTATTATAGAAGATATTTTTAAAGATACAAATAAGCAGCCAGATGAAGAGACACAGGTCTGGGAGGACCTGAGCACAGGAGCTGCTGTACCTGTGGCATGGAGACGAGTTCTCCGTTGCCTTCCCCTGCTCCTCCACACGATCACCTACCTAGAAGTTCCCAGACCCTTTCCTTTGGGGATTTTATAGAGACTTTATTGCACATCTTTGCTGAAATGTGGTGGACAAAAGGAGTCTGAGCTGATGCTAATAGGCTGAGTGGGGAAACCCTCAAGGCCTGCCCAGATTCTTCTTGGCCTCTCTGGGCAGCATTCCTTCCTCATGGGCATCAGGCAGGACCCTTCTGAAATGGGGGATTTGCCATCAGAGAATTTCATTATGGCAGTTCTCAGACAAAAAGGAGGGAAATATCAGAGTACTTTCTTGCTTTCTATGACCCCCAACTTGGGGAAGAAGACATCTGGCTTCTGTGTCTAGCCTTGGGGAGGAAAAAGAGTGGGTAGTCAGACATGGTGAGGCACTTCTATAATCCCAGAGATTCCAGAGGCTGAAGCAGGAGGACATCAAGTTCAAGGTCAGCCTCAGCAACTTAAATTGTGAGACCCTGTCTCAAAAATTAACAAACTAAAAGGGCTGAGGCTATAACTCAGTAGTATAGCACCCCTGGATGCAGTCTCCCTACTACTGGGGGTAGGGGAGAGCAGGTGAAAGGAGACAGTAACAGAGGGAGGGAGACTTTGCTTCCTGAGACCTGCTTCTGAGGCCTAAAGTGCCCCAACATTATTCAGATCACTTAGGAAATAACAAAGGCTATGAGAGCAACGGGCAGGAGCCATGAATAATTTTTTTTTTTTAAAAAAGTATCATATCACAAGAGGGAGATCCAGTGTACAAAAACTCATAAAAAATAGTTAGGGTTAGGTGAAACTGTTGGAATAGAAGGTGACTGGGCATCATTTGGCCAAGGCAAGGATTCTGGAAACAGAGTTGCTGAGTTCAAATCATCACATATGAGATATATTTTTTGGGGGGGATGTTAACTTCTTTTTTTATTTTTTTATTTGCTCCAATTAGCTATACATGACAGCAGAATGCATTTTGACTCATTGTACACAAATGGAGCACAGCTTTTCATTGCTTTGATTATACATGATATGGAGTCACACCATTCATGCAATCATATGTGTACATAGGGTAACAATGTCCATCTCATCCCACAATCTTTCTCACCCCCATACCTCTCCTCTCCCCTCACTCCCTTCTGCCGAATTCAAAGTTCCTCCATTCTTCCCTTGCCTCCCCACCCCATTATGGATCAGCATCCACATTATCAGAGAAAGCATTTGGCCTTTGGTTTTTGGGGGATTGGCTTATTTCGCTTAACATGATATTCTCTAACTCCATTCATTTACCTGAAAATGCCATAATTTCATTATTCTTTACATAAGAGATATATTATCAAGGGCAACAGTTAATTCACCTGTGTCCTGGTTTTCTCATCTGTAAATTCGGGGTCATCACATACTTGCCTTGTGTAGCTTATG